GTTGGGATTTTTGTTGAGATTGCATTGAATCCATAAATTATTTGGGAAGATTTCACATTTTTACAATATAGTGGCTTCTAACTCTTCAACACAGTATTCCTTCTTTAAGTCCCCTAGGTCTCTCAATAAGAGTTTATAACTTAATGTGTCTTTCAGGCTTTTTGTTAGATATATTCCTAGGTATTTCACATTTTTGGTGCTATTATAATTGGTATTTTTAAATTTCATGTCTTTTGTTGCTTATATAAGAATACAGTTGGTTTATATATATATATTTTAGCAAATTACTAAATTATCTTACTCCTTTTAATAATCTACAGACTCTTTGGGACTTAAATTAGATCATCTGCAAGTAATACAATTTTCTTTTTTGGCAATTTTCTTTTTAAAACAGTAACCTTACATATTTTGTTTCTCTTTTGGCTTCCTATACTTGCTAGACCATCTATGTAATGTCAAATCAATAAAGGCAGTGGCACTAGGCATCCTTGTCCTTCTTCTGATTGACAGAAAAAACTTATAACATTTCACTCCATTAAATATGATATTAACTGTAGGTATTTTATAATATGTGTATCAGATTAAAGACATCTCTTTTATTCTTGTTTTTCTAGTAGGAATTTTTTTGCACTTTTTTCCTTCAAAACAAACAACTTTTTAAAAATTTTATTCAAGTATAGTTGACTTACAGTGTTGTATTAGTTTCTGGTGTACAACAAAGGGATTCAGTTATATATATACATATGTATATATATACACACACACATATGTACATCCTTTTTCATATGCTTTCCTATTATGGTTTATCACAGGATATTGAATATAGTTCCCTATGCTATAGAGTAGGACCTTGTCATTCATCCATTCTCTATATAACAGTTTGCATCTGCTAATCCCAAACTCCCAATCTATCCCTCTCCTATCCCTTCCTCCCCCTTGGCAACCGCCAAGTCTGTCCTCTGTGTCCATGAATATTTCGTAGATAAGTTCACTTGTGTCATATTTCAGAGTCCACATATAAGTGATAGTATATGGTGTTAAAGCAAACAACTTTTTATTGAAGTCTAGTTGATATGCAATATTATATTAGTTTCAGATATACAGGAAAGTGATTCAGTTATATATATTCCAGAAATATATATCTACTCTTTACAGATTCTATCCCATTATAGGTTATTACAAAATATTGAATATAGTTCCCTGTGCTATATAGTAGGTCCTTGTTGTTTTATATGTAGTAGTATGTATCTACTCCTAATCCCAAACTCCTAATTTATCCTCCCCCACTCCTTCCTCCTTTGGTAACCATAAATTTATTTCCTATGTGTGTGAGTGTATTTCTGTTTTGTAAATTACTTCATTTGTATCATTTTTTTTTAGAATCCACATATAAGTGATAGTATATGATATTTGTCTTTGCCTGACTTACTTCACTTTGATAATCTCTAGGTCCATTTTATGAATTTTTATCAAGAATGAAAATTGAATTTTATCAAGTGCTTTTTATGTATCTATTGAGGTGGTTATGTCATCTTTCTTCTTAAGCTTTTAATGTGATGATTCCATAAATTGATTTCTTACTGTTAAGCTAACCTTGAAGTCCTAGATAAACCTAACTTAGTCTTAATGTAGTCTTCTTTTTTTTTTATTTCTTGATTTTGTTTGCTATTCATTTTCTATTTTTGCATCTAAGTTTATGTGTGAGACTGGCCTGCATTTTTTTCTCTTGTTCTTGTTAGATTTTGGTAGCATTGTAAACAATTTGGAAAGTGTTGCCTCTTTTTTAATTCTCTGGAAGAGTGTGTATGTTGGAATTATTCTTGAATGCTTCATTGAATTTACTGGAGAAACCGTCTGGACTTAGAATTTTTTGTGGTAAGATATTTTACTGTTGATATAATGTCCTTTGTAGTTATAGGATTTTTCGTATTTTCTATTTCTTCTTGGGTTAGTTTTAGCAGTTACACTTTTCTAGGATAGTTCTTATTCTAAAATCTTAAATTTATTGGCATAGTGTTGTTCTAATATCCTTTTATCTGCTTAATGCCTGTAGCATCTATAGGGAGCTTCCCTGGTGGCTCAGATGGTAAAGAATCTGCTGCAATGCAGGAGACCCAGGTTCGATCCCTGGGTTGGGAAGATCCCCTGGAGAAGGGAATAGCAACTCACTCCAGTGAGTGAGAATTCCATGGACAGAGGAGCCTGTTGGACAGGGATCACAGTCCATGGGGTCACAAAGAGTCAGACATGATTGAGCGACTCACACACACATAGCATCCATAGTACTGTCTCCTTTCCATTTTTGAAATTGATTGTAGGTGCTCTTTCTCCCTTTTTCTTTTTATCACTCTTCTCAGAGGTTTATTTTATTACTGATTTCAAGGATCCAATATCTGTCTTTATTGAACCTCTTTATTATTTATTTACTACTTTATATTTGCTGTGCCCTTTATTTTCTTTCCATTTATTTGGATTTATTTTGCTAATTTTTTTTTTAGCTCCTTGACATACATACTGTTTGATTTTTTCTTTTAAGTGTTTCTTCTTTCACATAAACAATTAAGGTTATACACACATATTCTGTTCTCTAAAATATCAGCTTTAGGTAATCTTACAAGTTTTAGGGTTTTTTTTTTAGCTGCCCTGGGTCTATTGCTGCGCTTGGGCTTTCTCTAGTGGTGCGTGGGCTTCTCACTGTGGTGACTTCTCTTGTGGCAGGGCACAGGCTGTCAGGCACATGGACTGAAACAGCTGTAGCCCGCAAGCTCAGTGGTTGTGGTTTGAGGGCTCTAGAGCACCAGCTTAATAGTCGTGGTGCACAGGCTTAGTCACCCCAAGGCATGTAGGATCTTAGTTCCTGGACTGGGGATCCAGTTGATGTCCCTTGCACTTGCAGGAGAACTCTCAACCCCTGGGCCACCAGGGAAGTCACCTTACAAGTTTGATATGTGTATTTTTACTGCTAAAAGTTTCATTCTTCAGTTATTGTTGGGTATAGCTTTCTAAATATGTCCATTAGATCAAGTTTGTTAATTATGTTGTTCAAAGTATCTGTATTACTGACATTTGAGCTACTTATTCTATAAATTACTAAGAGGAATGTGTTAAAATCTTCACTGTAGTTTTGTACTTGACTATTTTGTTGTCTGTCAATGTTTGTTTTCTATATTTTGAGATTATATTATTATGTACATAGCAATTCAAAATTGTTGTATCTTCTTGGTAAATTGAATTTTTTATCATTTTGAAGTGGCCTTCTTTGCCACTAATAATGCTTAATGCCTCAAGTTTATTTTGCCTAATATTAATGTAACTATCACCTCATGGGAAATAGATGGGGAGAAAGTGGAAACAGTGTCAGACTTTATTTTTCTGGGCTCCAAAATCACTGCAGATGGTGACTGCAGCCATGAAATTAAAAGACACTCCTTGAANCTAGACAGCATATTAAAAAGCAGAGACATTACTTTGCCAACAAATGTCCATCTAGTCAAGGCTATGGTTTTTCCAGTGGTCACATATGTGAGAGTTGGACTGTGAAGAAAGGTGAGCGCCAAAAAATTGATGCTTTTGAACTTTGGTGTTGGAGAAGACTTTTGAGAGTCCCTTGGACTGCAAGGAGATCCAACCAGTCAATCCTAAAGGAGATCAGTCCTGGGTGTTCATCGGAAGGACTGATGCTGAAGCTGAAACTCCAGTACTTTGGCCACCTCATGCGAAGAGTTGACTCATTGGAAAAGTCCCTGATGCTGGGAGGGATTGAGGGCAGGAGGAGGAGGGGACGACAGAGGATGAGATGGCTGGATGGCATCACCAACTCGATGGGCGTGAGTTTGAGTCAACTCTGGGAGTTGGTGATGGACAGGGAGGCCTGGCGTGCTGCAATTCATGGAGTTGCAGAGTCGGACACGACTGAGCGACTGAACTGAACTGAACTGAAGGTAACTATACCAGTTTCTTCTTGGCTAGTATTTACAAAGCTAATGTTTTTCCATCACTTTATTTTCAATATTTTATATGTGTATGTTATTTAGATGTCTTATAAACTGCAAATAGATAAATTTATCCATTCTGACAATATTACATTGTCGCTGCATCATTGAGCCCCATACATGTAATTTCTAATACATTTGGATTTCATTCCACCATTTTCTTTTGGGTTTTTTGTTTCACCTGTTTAAGGTTTCATTTTCTCTTGTTTCATGTATTCTTTTTGTTGATAATCTTTTTATCACTCTGCTTTTGTGCCTCCATTCATCTGTTCCCTAGTCTTTTGATGGTTACCTTAAAAATTATAGAATATATACTATATTAAAGAAAAGTAAAATTTAAAGTAAACCCTTTTCTCCAGAAGCTTTCACATCAGTGGAACAGACATATGTGTTAATAATTTTGGTATGGTATAACAAGGCCTTAATAGAAATGTATTCAACATGCTCTGGGTCGATCAGAGGAAGAAGTAACCAAATTCTTTGGGAAACTGGGATAACTACTGAAGAAGATATATTTGAGCCTTAGCTTAAGAGGTGGATAAGGTAGGGGAAGGTAATCCAGGCAGAGGAAGAATGCAACCTGTATTAAAAAAGCACAGCATTGTAAAAGAGCGTGTCATGTTCAAATAGAAGACCAATAGTTTGGCATGGCTAGAATCAGCATTTAAGGAAAAGGGAAAAGGACCGTCAGCGGTAAGATGGGACCACCCTGTTACCTTTTATTAAACACTCTCATGGTACCCTGTATTTTTTATGACACTTTCCTACTTTGAACTTCCTGTTCAGTGTCTGTTTTTTCACATTCATCCTTAATCCTGGGTAATCAATAGATACTACCCATGGCTCAGATGATAAACAATCTGCCTGCAATGCAGGAGACGTGGGTTTGATCCCTGGGTCAGGAAGATCTCTTGGAGAAGGGAATGGCAACTCACTCTAGTTTTCTTACCTGGAGAATTCCATGGACAGAGGAGCCTGGTGGACTACAGTCCATGGGGTCTCAAAGAGTCGGACACAACTGAGCAACTAACAGTTTCACTTTCAAAATTAATAAATCAAGAATAAATACAAGAATATCATTTTTAGCTGTAATAAACACTAAAATTGTTAATATGGCTATCACAAGGAAGTAGGACTAGGTGATAGGGTTAAGGGGTTTGAGAGGAAACTTTTACTTAATTTGTTCATATTCCTCTGTATTGCTCAAATCTGTTCTCATGTGTTCTCATTACATTTTTAAAGTTTTTATTGAGATAAAAATTCACAGTAAAGTGTGCAGATCTTGTGTTTAGCTTAATAAACATTTACACACGTAAACGTGGTTACACATCCATGTAACCACTATCTGGATCAAGATATAAGATATGTCCAGTGTTCCAGAAGATTCTCTCAGTACTGCCCCTTCCCAGACATACTGCACCCTCCCCCAGATCACCACTGTGGTGACTTCTTCCACTACGGTGTAGTTTTGCTTGTCTTTCACCTCATTTACATGGAGCTATATAATATGTACTTCTTCAAGCCTTTCTTATTGATGTATAATACACTTCCATTAAAATATACTGATCTTAAATGTTAGCTCAGTAAATCCTGATGTATTTCCAGCACTCCAGAAGACTCCCTAATGCCTATTCCCAGTCAATAATGTCCCCACTAAGATAATCACTATTTTGACTTCTACCAACATTGCTTTGTTTTGCCTGTCCTTGAGCATCATATAAATGGAATCATACAGTCTCATGGAGGACACTACCCAGATTTTCTTTAGGAGAACCTGCTGTAGGAAGCAGCTTGACGAAGGACCTCTAACCCACCCTACCACAGCTCTCCTCCTGAGCCTCTCCTGAGCAGCTCTCTGCTGAAGGCTGAGCATGGGGTCCCAGAGCCTGGCCCTCCTGCCTGATGGGGAGCCCTCTGGCAGATCGCTTTTGCTCTGGTCGGCTTGGCAGAGACCCTCAGACTGTGCTGTCATCTGAGACTCTTCCTACTCAGTCTCTCCCTCCTCCTCTCCTTTCACAGGTTCTAGATCATGTGATTTGAAGTTTTGCCATACCTATTCCTGTTCCCTCTCCCTTTATTCTTCATGAGCTTTTTCCCTAATAAGTCTCTTGCATATCTGCTCCCATTTTGGCACCTACTTCTCAGAGGACCCAAACACAAATATGCATTTTTGTGCTGACTTCGTTTGCTCAGCATTCTGTCTGTGAGAGCCATCCATGTTGTTATGTGTAGCAGTAATTCATTCTCTTCTGTTTCATGAGTATAGCGCAATATATGGATCCATCCTAATGGTACTGGGCATTTGAATAGTTTTCAGCTTAGTGCTCTTATTTTGATGTTTTTATACATGCAAGTATTTTGGTGAACACGGGCACTCATTTCTCTTGGGTATATGCCAAGGAAGTGGAGTTGCTGAGTCATAGGCATATGTTTAGCTTTAGTAGATATTGTTCAAGTTTTCCAAATTAGTGGACCAAGCTACACTTCAAGAGCACTTAGAAGAGTTCCTGTTGCATATAATATTTTTAAAATGTAAATGTAAAAATAAATACTTCAAAAGATAGATACAAACCAGATGTATGCTATCTCATCCTAGTTTCATGTTTAAGTTACCATTTTTAAAACTGCCCAGTAGAAAAAAATATTCACATACCCTAAAATGTACATAGTGGTTATATTAAAGGGAGAAAGGAGATCACGGGCTACCTTTACCTTTGACTTTGAGAAATATCTGAAATGCTTTACAACAAGTACATATTTCTTTTAATTACTGTCTTGAAAAATATTAACTAGAACTAAAAGGTTTATGATGAAAACCAGCAGGCTCATCCTATACTCCTCCACACCCCTCAGTCACGAGGCTCCTAGCTTATCACTCCTTTAACTGCTTCCAAAGATGTGTTGAAATCCCTTATCAACTGCCTAATTCTCTTTATTCCTTGTGGGTTTCTATCATTTCTATCACTTTATTGTCATTTAGTGAAATCTGAAGAGAGAGAGAGGTAATTAATATGATCAGTCTGCCATTTTTAATCAGAAGTTCATGCCTACAATCTAACTGATTTTTGGACATTATCATAGTGAATGGGATGTATCAAAGAATAGCAGTGTGTTTTAAAGACATCATTCTGGTGATTGGGATTAGGGATGATGAGGACGGACTGGGGAGGGGAGCACTCAGGCTGGTGGGGGGAATGCTTAGGAAGACACAGAGGTGGGCTTCTCACCCAGCTGTAGCAGGATGGAGACAACAACATAGAGGGCACAGGCAGTCCTTGCCTCAGGATCACAGCTCACATCTAGGGGCCCCTCACCCCAGTTCTCCTACAGGACGGGCTCCACCTGGAAGGAAACCCACCGGACTGTAAAAGCTGAGAACAAGGAAATATACCAAAAATGGCAACTACGTGGCCATACCCCTTAGTCCTGGGTCCATAGCAGAGGTTGTAATCCACCACGGCACAGAGCCTGGGGAGCCTCATACTCCCAAGCGGTAATAAACACTGCTGATGCGTCAACATGGGGCCAATCGCCCTCCTGGAACTAATAGGTTTCCCACCCCCTCTCTAGCCCACAGGCAAACAGCAGAGCCTAAAAACCCCATCCTGAATTGTCCTGAAAACTACATGTCCAGGGCATTGCCACAAACCGGCTGCGTAGATGTGAGCTGGCAGTGGACTATGAAGTAGGAAGCGACTGGTCAGTGAGGTTTCTGGGTCCCTTGAGAGCATGGGCAGTCAGTTCCACTAGGACCTGGGCCCTCAGCCCAGGCTATCTTACCTTGTCCTCCATGAGGGGCAGGGTCCCCTTATCCAGGGCCTCAGCAACAAACTGCCGGCCCTCAGACAGCTCTGGGGACAAGAGAGAGGGTGGTCAGCAGAGAGGCAGGGCACATAGTGGGACAGAGCTTCGCTGTCTGATCAGACCCCGGACAAGCATCACAGAAGGTTCCAGAGAACCCCAGAGTGGCTAGACGGGGATTATTTCCACTGGGTTTCTGCTTTCCTCTTAGCCTGCAGGAGGTCGGAGACTGCACCATGGGGAAAGAGGAGGCAGTCCCTCATCCCTGTCCTGGGGAAGATGGCTGGTTTGTGAAGTGTGAAGTCTGTGCCTCACAAAATGTAAAAGGCAGTGATACCCCCTTCCTCCCAAGAGTTGACTCCCCACAGGTCCCTCTGTTCACATGCCCTCCATGCCAGCTTATATCCAAGCCCCTCCTCACCCTTCAGGGCATCCAGGATATCCCAAATGGTTTCTGCGCGTGCCTCTATCAAGACCCCAGCAGCATTGAAAAGACTGCTTATGAGAGAATTCGCTGCGTTGTTCATCTGTAGCTCCCCAGAGCACTGGACCTCAGACACCTAGGACCAGGAGATGGGAGAGAGGAGCCCAGTCCCATTAGAGTGGATTGTCTCCCCACTGGTCCCTCCCTCTCTCTGCCCTCTTCTTTCTTGGGCCTCTTCCTCTTCGCTCTAGATCCTGCAGCTCTTCATCACTGTGGAGGCACTTGGTGAAGCAGTTTAGCACCTCTTCTTGCTCCTCTGGAGTCAGATCCTGGAGGACTTGCACCATGTCCTGAACCCTCTCTGTTATGCTTTGGAAACTCTCCAAACTCAAGGACCCCCCTGTAGAGGCAGAAATTAAGAACCCAATCCCTTCAGCCTAGCAAGCTCCGTTTCCAAGGCCCCCCAGACCCCATTCTTGATCTGTCTTTCTTCTGGAGACCACTTCTCTGTAACTTCCCTTCTTCTAGTCTTTTTCTGTTAACATGGAGCAGATAGATACCCAGCATCACTGCCTTCCTCTGACCCCACTTCCACCTCCCAGCTCACCCTAAATTCTTCTCCACCTCCAGGAAATCAAAGCTTATGTAGTTCTTGCCATTCAAAGTGCAAGCTTTGGACCACAGTAGGAGTGATGAGGATTTAGAGAAAGTTAGAGCAGTGGTGCTCAATCTTGACTGTGCATGAGAATCCCCTGCATAGTAATTAAAACCCCCTGTGCCCAGACCAGACCACACCCCCAGATCAGCTAAATCAGAATTTCCAGAAGTGGAACTCAGTCATCACTACTTTCAACATTTCCCTCTGGTGATATCTGTGTACCAGTGAGAATCACTGTGTTCAGAGGAGATAGATGCAACCTCTAAAGTGGAAACCTACTTTTGGCACTGCCCTACCCTTCTCCAGGGCATGGCAACCCACACCAGTATTCCTGCCTGAGAAGCCCGTGGACAGAGGAGACTGGTGAGCTACAGTGCACGGGGTTGCACAGAGTTGGACACGACTGAAGCGACTGAGCACGTACTACCCTTCTCCTCCCAACACTCTCCACTACTACTACCACACACACATGCATGCACACACACTCAGCTGCCGCACTTGAACTGCATTCCTTAGGGCCAGAGGGCTCAAAGGTGAGGAATGCAGCTACCCTGAACATAGCTGGCCTCCATCCTTACCCAACCAAGGTGAACCGCCATCTTTCTCTGCAAAGAGAGGAAGAATAATCTCAGCGAGTCCTCAGGTCACCTCCACCCCAGCCCACCCCATGGACATTCTTGTCCCAGTGGCGGGGGTTCTCAATTCTAGACTCTGAGCCCTCACTGCCTATGCTGGGGAGCCTGCATCTTCATCATGGTGTATAAATGACAAAGAACTATATTTACAGACCCCTTCCTACACTCAGAGATAGGCAGCCATAGCATATGCCTAAGATGATTGAAAGAGAAAGGGAAGTCCAGAGAGAAGCACCATGCCCTTAGCCACTCAGGAAATTTGGGTGACAGCAGGAACTGGAATCTATTCCCTGACTCCTCTGTGATGGCACTTAAGAGTGACAGAGAATCTCACTTGAGCTAGCAAGACCTTGCCAGAACTGAACCTGCAGCGAGCGTCTACAACTTTCAGTAATTTCTCTTGAGTGTTCTACTCCACCTAGACTTCTACTCCACCTAGAACCTCGCTCCACTCCTTCACAAGGGCCCTTAGGCAGAACAACCCTCCTTATGGGATTCAGGAAGGTCAGAGGAAGCCACACACCGAATCATACAGGTCTCCTGGTCTAGTCCTAGTTCCTTTTAAGGTTAGTATAACCATGACTCTGGGCGCTGTAGGCCTATTGAGCGGCAGAGCCAGCAAGACCCTGAGACTATCTGACTCCTAGTCCAGTGTTCATGCTGTTGTGTGAGAACTGGCCAGGCAATTCAACTGTGCTTTGTAAGCCAACAGGCCTTCTGTAAGGACTGTGAACCCAGAATCCAGCCCACTGACCTACACAGAGCAAGTCAGAGTTGGCGGAGCCTAGAAACCCTAGGCCAGCATGCAATCCAACGTACTTATCCAACAGGCAGATTTTCCTCCTGCCCTCACCTTGGCTCAAACTTGAGTGCATCCTGTTACATTCTCAGCACTGATGACTCTATAATTCCAGGTCATTTGCTATCCTCTTTTTAAAACCAGTATCCTTGCTAATTCTAGAATGATGAACAGGAGGCCCACTCACTCACCTTCTGGAAAGGATCTGGTTTCGTCAAAGAAACAAATATCTAAACCAGTTTTTAAAAAGAGAGAAAGAGAGATCAGTTGTTAGAAAGCCCAGTTCTCCCTCTGTAAGTTCTTCTTTTTAATATCTCCCCGGTCTTCCCACCCTGCCCAACAGGAAAAAATAAATTCTGGGAGAGAGACAGGAGCTAACACCTCTAGGGAAGAACTGGGTTTCCCAGGTGGCTCAGCAGTAAAGAATCCGCCTGCCATTGCAGGAGACACAGGTTCGATCCCTGTGTTTGGGAAGATCCCCTGGAGAAGGAAATGGCAACCACCCACTCTAGTATTCCTGCCTGGGAAATCCCATGGACAGAGGAGCCTGGCAGGCTACAATCCACGGGGTTGCAAAAGAACTGGACATGACTTAGTGACTAAGTAACAACACCCTCCATCCATCTTCCCAGTCCCTGAAACTTGCCCCCACCTTCCAGGTCACCAGGACACCTACAGACTGACACAGACCCCAGTTGAACTGACCCCCACCTTCTTCATGTGTTCAGCTCCCCTATCCCACCCCACCCCCTGACCCCACGAGGCCTAGCTCACTATCCTCTCCGCCCTGGGGAAGACAAGCTGCTTTACCCGATAGGCCAGGACCTTCTCAGGGGTGATGGTCACTTCCTCTTCATTCTAGCAAAAAGGAGCAATGTAGATTGACCCCTCAGTTCCTGACATAATTACCTTGCCTGATCTCCCAAACATTCCTGGGAGGTAGACATTATTACCCTCAATTTACAGATGAGAGAACCGAAGCTCTGAGAGGGTCAGCAGATGAGCCCATTTCACATCAGCCGAGTTGATATTTGACTCCACATCTGATTTCATTTCCATTTCATTCAACAAATATTTATGGGGAATTCCCTGGCTGTCCAGTGGCTAGGACCCAACACTTTCACTGCCAGAGGCCTGGGATCGATCCTTGCTTAGGGAACTAAATTTCCACAAGCCACATGTGTGGCCAAAAAAAAAAAATTTATGGAGGACGAAACATGCCTGTTTTGTTCCAGGCATCATGGCTCCTGTCGTCCCGCCTCCTAAAAGGGGAGGAAGACAATGAACAAGCAAACAACACCTGTGTAATTATGAGCCATGGGAAGCGCTATGAAGCAAATGAAAACAGAGCACTGCCAGAGATTTAAAGGGGAGAGACTGTGTGATACTGTATACTTTCTTGGGGCAAGAAGAGAAGTTCTAAGAAGGCCAAGGAGCAGGCAAGACTGCTCAGAAAAGTCCAGAAGAAGAGCCTGGGGTCTGGGCTGGCAGCCCCTGACCTGCAGTGGGTGAGCCAAGCTGGCTTGCCCACAGTCCCTGTCTCCAGAGATCCTAACCTGGCTTTCGTATTGGAGATCAGAAAGTTCCAAAAGGATCTGAAAACTAAGTTACTTTTTACATTTCAGAGTTTCAGTCTTTGCTATCTTCACAGTTTTTGTCACTAGATACAGGTCTTCTCTCTTCGCCTGGATTGATTGGAATGAAGAAGGCAGATCCTTCTTCAGCTTCCTGGAAGGAGTAAAAGGGAGAATGAGAGGGCCCCCACCTCCTGGGCACATCTCTCCCTCCCCACCAGTTACTCTCTATTTGAGAGTAAGTGCTCCTGAGGTCAGGGAAAACCAAAGAACATGGAACCCCTGTCAAAGTTCACTTTACCCGCCATGGAGGGGAAGGGGTGCAAAGTGGGAAGGGAACTCACTAGCATTTCTGGAAGATTAGAGTATGCCAGCAGAGTGAAATACTTCACACATTGCTTCATTTAACCCTCTCCACACCCGCATGATATAGGCAGGCTTGCATCCATTTTTCATATGAAACTGAGGCTTGAGACAGGTCCTGAATGGTCCAAGTTCACACAGCAAATAAGCAGAGCTGGGATTCAAGCCCCGGTCTGTATGAGTCCAAAGCTTCTGCCCTTCTCATGGCACTGAGATGGGCATGTGCCCAGCCCAGAGCAGCCCCCTCTCTGAGAAGCGGTCCCAGCTCCCTACACGGATCTCTGGGACCTGGTTGTGTACGGTCCCCCTTCAGGGTCCATGTGCCATTTCTGATTCCATAAGGGAATTCATGGGCTTCCCTAGTAGCTCAGAGGGTAAAGCATCCACCTGCAATGCAGAAGACCTGGGTTCAATTCCCGGGTCGGGAAGATCCTCTGGAGAAGGAAATGGCAGCCCACTCCAGTATTCTTGCCTGGAGAATCCCATGGACAGAGGAGCCTGTGGGCTACAATCCATGGGGTCGCAGAGAGTCAGACACGACTGAGCGACTAGCACACAAGGAAATTCGTTTTGTGACTTAACACACCCTAGTGGAACTTCTGGTATTTGCAGCCAAAAGACCTCTCTACATCCTTGCCTCTGGTGACCTTCCTTTACCTACCTGCCCCCACACAACTCTATTTACACACTCAACATAGCCTCACCCTAGAAACAATGCATTCTAGAGAAAAAATGAGTTCCCTCAGCAAAGGCCCCTCCCCAGCAAGACTGTGGCGGTAGGAGCAGGTCAAAGGACCAGTCCAATTTCACTGGAAGCCTTTCAGTTCTGAATTAAAAAGGGGAAACAAAAGGCATCCACCCTGCCCAGGGAGGGCTAGCCCAGGAAAACAGAGGGGCCTCTTTCCCTGAACCAGCCACACTTTCCAACAATTCCAGCTAGGGGAGAAGCCACCAATACCAGCCACAATTTCCAACAATTCCAGCTAGGGGAGAAGCCACCAATACCAGCCACAATTTCCAACAATTCCAGCTAGGGGAGAAGCCACCAATACCAGCCACAATATAACTGCTGAGGCGGAGGCTGCTGGAGTCCCTGGGAAGGACCATGCCCCCAGCTATCAGCATGTCTGCAGCCCTTGATCGGGGCCACTCTGGTGGGGCGGGGTGATGGCACTTCCTGTGCAGGAAATGTTCAACCGGGGTGCTTTGATTTCACCGTGCTTCCCCTCAGCTCTCTTCTTGAGTACTTACCACGTGCTGGGGATAAACAGCGAGGTTAGTAAAGACGGTCCCTGGTCACAAGCTGTTCTTAGTGCAGCGAGGGACAGGTACATGGAAACCACTGACTTGCCAACAAAGCAAAATGAAACAAGCACAGAGCGAAGGTTTGGGCAACACAGTTTAAGAAAACAGAGGAGTGTGGTCTCAAAACCAGCCAGTTTGCTCCAAGTCAGAGCCATCAGCTATCCTGATGGAAAAGTAAGTGAATTGGGGACCTCAGAAGAAGGGCTCCTGGAGGCTGGTTCTGAATGAATGAGAAGGCTTGCTAAGGGTGGACAGGAGGAGGGCATGCTTGAATAAGGACTGGGTTGCAGGGGGGAGGAGTACTGGGAATAGGGAGTGACAGGCAGCACCAGCCAGGGCTGCCCCCACCTCCGATGGCCTAGGTGCCCCAAAATATGGGCTGCTCCCTCTCTCCTTCTCCCTTGCTGTCCACCTCCAGCCTCACTTGTTCCTAAGGGAATCCAGGAATTTGTAGGGTATCTCGCACTTTTTTAACTTGATATTCATCTCATGGAAAATGTGGAATGCTATTTTAAATGTCATTTCGGGGGAAAATTTCACTGTCCAATTTTCCTTTGAGTCTTCGATGTCCAGAATTTCAAAGTTACCATCTTGACCTGGAAAGAGAAAGGTAAGGTCACAATGTCATTATTATCACTGAGGCTAACCCAAAAGATCTCTAGAAGATCCTTGCTGATGTGCCCCATCCTGGGCTCCCCTCATGATCCCCTTCTCTTCTGAGCAAGTCTTCCAGCCATGGCTCTCCAGCCAATGCTGTTCTCCCCGGAAGTTATCGTAGTTGGAGCCCACTCTGCCACATTCTTACCAAATAACCTTAGGTAAGTCACTTCACCTCTGAATCTGTTTCCTCATCTATAGAAGGAGAATATTCATAGCACCTACTTCCAGTGCTTGAGGAGATTAAATCATGCAGCTAAGCAGTTAGCACACTGCTAAATGCTCAGTAAATGTGAACTAGTCCTATTAAACCATTTGAGAGGTTGAAATGAATCAAAGAAAAGTAAAGCGAAAGAATTAGGAGCCCCTGACCACCTGGCTTCCCAGATGGCGCTAGTGGTAAAGAACCGCCTGCCAACAGAGGAGACAATGAGACTTGGGTTCGATCCCTGGGTCGGGAAGATCCCCTGGAGAAGGAAATGGCAACTCACTCCAGTATTGTTCCCTGGAGAATAATGGACAGAGGAGCCAGGAGGGCTATAGACCATGGGGGTCACAAAGAGTTGGACACAACTGAGGGAATGAACACAACCTTTGGGAAATAAAAATTAAGCAGAGTTCAATCTCTGTGTTTGTGTGACCTGAGCAGGTGTAAAGTGAGGCAACTCTGGAAAGTTGCCCACCAGCATGGACTCTGCCCAGCCTTGCATAAGGCCTTGTGTAAGGGCCTAGAGTCCAAGTCCATTGCTGCCCCAGAGTTAATGGCTAGTGTGTGGAGATGCTGCCAAGCTGAGTGCCTTTCTCTCAGACCTCCCAGTTCTGAGCCCACAGAGGAGGGAGAGCATCTACTGCTGCATTTTAGGGGTGGGCCTGGATTTCTAGAGAAAAAAATGCATTTTGAAACTGGTGGAAACATGACAGACCTAGAAACAATGCCTGAAATCAGTCCTGTGTGTGTGATGCTAATGTCTCAGGGCCCATTTGTTTCTTGAGTAACGTAAAACTTGGTGTACTTTATCAAAGAGAAAGAAAAATCAAACCTCATGCACACAAAGGCTACAGCGTGGGAGAATTCCCTGGTCCAGTAGTTAGGACTCCATACTTCCCCTGCAGGGAGCATGGGTTTGATCCCTGGCTGGGGAACTAGATCCCACAAGCCATGCAACATAGCCCACACAGTACAGAGAAGGGCAGCGGGGAAGAGTAACGTGACAATGAAGAAACCTAACAGGTACTACCTCAGCCAGGTGACCAAGGTCAGTATCAATAGTGATAAGTCTTGATGACAGTACGTAGCCTTGCTATGAGGGTTTCCCAGGCGGCTCAGTGGCAAAGAATCCTCTGGCAATGCAGGAGATGCAGGTTTGATCCCAGAATCAGGAAGGTCCCCTAGAGAAGGAAATGGCAATCCACTTCAGTTATCTGGAAATCCCATGGATGGAGGAGCCTAGTGGGCTTAAGCAACAGCAGCAGCAAACCCTTGACATGATGTGGTGAGAACAGCACTTTACCTCTGTAATCTTTCCCCACCCCCCAAACCCATTTCCTAGGTCTAAGAGACAGAAAAAAAATCAGACAAATCTCAGTAGAGAGGCATCCTACAACATGCCTGACTGCTGCTGCTAAGTCACTTCAGTCGTGTCTGCCTCTGTGTGACCCCATAAACAGCAGCCCATCAGGCTCCGCCGTCCCTGGGATTCTCCAGGCAAGAACACTGGAGTGGGTTGCCATGTCCTTCTCCAATGCATGAAAGTGAAAAGTGAAAGCGAAGTCGCTCAGTCGTGTCCGACTCTTCACGACCCCGTGGACTGCAGCCCACCAGGCTCCTCCGTCCATGGGATTTTCCAGGCAAGAGTACTGGAGTGGGCTGCCATTGCCTTCTCCGATATGCCTGACTAGTACTCCTCCAAACTGCCAAGGCCATTAAAAACAAGAAAATTCTGAGACACTGTCACAGCTGAGAGGAGCCTAAGGAGACGTGACAACTAAATGTAACATGATGTCCTGGATGGGATCCTGGAACAGAAAAAGGACACTAGATGAAAACCAAAGATATCTGAATAAAACTTTGTTGCTGTTCAGTCACTCAGTCATGTCTGACTCTTTGCGGCTCCGTGGCCCACAGCGCGTCAGGCTTCCCTGCCCTTGACTATCTCCCGGAGCTTGCTCAAACGCATGTCCATTGAATTGGTGATGCCTTCCAACCATCTCATCCTCTGTCACCCTCTTCTTCTCCTGCCCTCAGTCTTTTCCAGTATCAGGGCCTTTTCCCACGAGTTGGCTCTTCACATCAGGTAATAGACTTTAATTTTTAAAAAACATATGTACACACATCCACACCAAATAGTTAAAAATAATAATGATTCAAAAAGAAGGAGGTCAAATTGCTAAAAATCAATTTAAATGATCAGTTCACCTCATCCTTAATTTTTTTAAAGTTTGGTTTCACCTCTGTCTCTGAATTTTTTATGCAAACAGAATTTCCCTTAAAGAAAGTTAACCTCGTCAATTTTCCATAATTAAACTTGCCCCTGCTGCCCCTGGAGAATAATGTGATCATTGCAAAACATCCTAGTCCTACTTTAAAGTTTTTTATTTTTGTCGTTTGGCAAACTGATTTTTTTTGTGGGGGGGTGGGGTAGTTGGCCATGCTGGGCGGCACGCAGGACCTTAGTTCCCAGGAACTTAGTTCCCCTACAAGGGCTCGAACCTGCGCCCCCTGCAGTGGAAGTTCGGAGTCCTATCTACTGGACCACTAGGGAAGTCCCTGATTTTGATTTTTTTGAAAACTAGCTTTTAGTAAATTGACTCTTGGCAATTCAATTTTCAGAAAATCAATGCAGAGTCTTTGAAAAATGCTAATCTGAAGTTTTCCTAAAGATGCTTGCTTGCTGAATTAAACTCCACTTGTGGAAAAGCCCGTCACCTCTGAGCAATCTGGGTACAGTTCTTGATCACATAATAGTCATATGTGGCAGGTGCTCTAGAACCATACAGTGGTGTTGTTAGAATTCTTTTCCATCTCTTGGGGAGAACCAAAAGGATTTTGGTAGAGATGTCTGAGCTGTAAAACTCCTCACCATGAGGCATGAGACGCCGTAATAAAGTCTCCAAGAGAAGGTCCATCGACACCTCTCCTGGGGCTTCTGAAACCCAAGAAACCCCAGGAGTTGGGAATCGCTGAGCTTGGAAGCAGGAGAATGGGACAGACTTCTCTCTGAAGCCCTCTGAATCCTTACGGAGTTCTGCTGACCAGCAACTTCCCATTCAACCCACATCCCCAGGGAAAGGGAAGGGCTAATAACTGCCACCAGCAAAAAGCCTGGGGAGAACTTTTATTGAATGCTCCTTCTTGCCGGCACTGTGATAAATGATTTACATAATTCACCTCATTTGACTCTTGCAACAGGCTTCTCAAGTTGACAGATGAGGAAACAAGCATAGATAAAGCAACTTGTCCAGAGGTTACCCAGCTGCAAGTGTGGCAGAGCCAGGTTTTGAAGTCAGATGCCCCCCAGTTCTAAAGCCTGAGTCCTTTCTTAACCACTATGCAAATTGTTTGCATTTATTTATACGTTTCAATGATTAACTTTATAAACACATGAGAAGACCTCAGCTAATTTAAAGGCGAATTATTTACAAAGGGAAAAAATAGGAAAGAAGACTACTTAGGAATAGTTTGCAAGAAAAACAAACTGCCATTTCCCCTATTCCCTTCTCCCCATGCAGCTCTCTTGAACATTTCTTAAGTTGAGGTGTATGGATATGTACATACAAATTCTACAGTTTCTTTGTTGACTGGGTGACCTGGTTGATAGCAATGGGGCATTGAGAGAGGGGCAGAGTAGGAGTGGGCAAAGTCTCTCACCACCTCATACTGACCTTGGAACTCAGGAACCACCATATCAAATGGTACTTCACTCTCCAGGATGTCTTTCAGGGTGAGGTTTGTCTTGTCATACTGGTTTCCAAAGAAACGTCTCCTCTTCTTCACCAGACAGAAGCAGTGGAATTTGTCAGCATCCGTGAAGCTTCTCTCCACTATTGTCTAGCTCTTCAACCACAACTCTTGTGATTGACTCAAATAGTGTGAGCATTGTGCCTGGACCAACTGGGGAAAGGAAGTCAATTGCAGTTTGGGGGCAGGGGGATATTGGTTCAGGTTTTATGATCTTCTACTTTTGGCAGATCCAAAAGTTCTAGGCCAACCAGAACTTGGAATGATTTGGCTTTCCTGTTTCTAGAAGGTGTGGCATTCACTACAAACTAAGATGGAATGACCATTACAAATGCCAGACTCTCCTCACCGCTGGTAGAACCCTTCTGGAGGAAAGCTGGAATGGCGATTGCCCCAGATGGAAAGTGAGACCTGTTTTCTGAGTATCCCACAGCAGAGTTGCCCCCTTGCTCAAAGGGACCTGATGGGTGGGAAGGCAGTCCCACCATCCCCAAACCTTACCAGTGCTGATGAACAGAGGAACCAAAAGAGATGAAGGGCCTGGCTGCAGACCTCACGTTACCAACCCCAACAGACGACTTCTTCCCTTGGCTCTGACTCCTGGGCCTCCCTCCCTTCCCGTTCTGCAAGGCAGTTGGATGGGTGCCCCTATGCACCATTTCCCAGTAAGATGGTGATAAACTGGTCTCAGAAGGAAACAGAAAGGGTAGTACCCTACCTTTGTACTTAAAGAGTGTCTTGCCGCTGGGTACCCTGGACAGCCACCCACCCCCAAGTCCTGTCTCTTCCATTTCTGGTCACCTTCTGAAGGATTCCGTCATATTTGGTAAAAGCAAATGAATCCTGAACCTCACCTGGGATACCTCCCGCCACCCACTCTCTGCTTCACCCTCTGCCTGGTCTACTTTTGGCCCCTGTATCGCTCCACTCGCCGGCCCTGCGGGGCCTTCCACAGGCCCACCACCAGTCCAGCCCGACATACCCACCGCGCTGGAGCCCTCATGCTCTTCCCTCTAAATCCTTCCTACTCTCTCCTCTTCCATCAATCACTCTGCCCCTTCCTTTTCAGATCTTTTCCCCCTTTCTTCAGGTTCCTCTGCCACCCTGCTGAGGCCAGACCACACCCCACAGGCTTCCTGGCCACCTTCCCCTAATTCCCTTCTGGCTGACGCAGGCACCTGCTCACCCCTCACCCATGTTCCCCCTTCTCTGCCCCTGCCCCTGTCATGGTGATCAGCTCACAACTTACTCCCCACTGGAATCCTTCTGGGATTATGGAGAGGCTGTGCCCAGGGCCTACGGGTCCATCTCTTTGGACCACAGGTGTGTGGTCCAAAAAAGAGGCCGCACACCTTTTTGTCCTCAGCTACTCACCAAAAATGGAGGTTGTAAGAATTCCCTCTGTGTAAGGTCTCTGCACAGTTCCGGGCCACTGTGTCTTGGGACTGTATAATATGGGAACTGAAAGAAAAAAGAAACTGGAGAGCTAGGAGCCCCACCTCTCAGGTTTTTAGATATGCCACTTTATGGCCCGGCTGGAAGCCGACCCAGGTCAAAGGTAAGAAACCGACGGGGCTTCCCTGGTGGTTCAAAGGGTAAAGCGTCTGCCCGCAATGCGGGAGACCCGGGTTTGATCCCTGGGTCGGGAAGATCCCCTGGAGAGGGAAATGGCAACCCACTCCAGTATTCTTGCCTGGAGAACCCCCATGGACAGAGGAGCCTGGTAGGCTGCAGTCCATGGGGTCGCAAAGAGTCGGACAGGACTGAGCAACTTCACTTTCACTTCCCTCCTCAAGGACCCAGAGCGCAGGTAGGTGGGAGGCAGACAGGCAGACACAGATAAGGCACAGAACAGGCTGTAAAGGCCCCTCCCTGGCAGTGAGCCTCAGTAAGTCCTCTTCCCTCCCAGTCATGCTTATGGAGGGAGAAGGAAGCAGGAAGCTTCCTCTGAGGACACAGAGGCCAGGGGGAGAAGCCGCCCTCCAACGCAGGAGAAGTGACAGGAATTCAGGGGGAGGAATTCAGAGGAAAGGACTGGGCACCCCTTGGGACTCTGGCTTCTTTAGGAAGCCATGGCTGAACTGACGCCCTCCCTGGCTGCAGCACAAACTCCCCCTGTGCCAGCCCAGCCTGGCTCAGCCAGTCAAGCCTAGAGGTGTAAGTTCTGTCTGAGGACCAGCCGGGCGAAGTCCCAGAGCAGACTGCTGCACTCTGGCCAGCTTACTGCCTTGGCTAGCTCGCCACCAGCCCTTTCACCCTGTTCTGCTGGCCCCAGGGGCCCTCTCAGCATCCAGCAAAGGGTTGGACCCATGCTCCACACTGCCCTCCCCCGCTCCTCCTCCAGAGCCCTCCAGGAAGCAGAGGCCAGACTCCGGGGAAATAGGAACACATTGTCCTTTATTTGCATTTCGCAGAATACTGTACAAAGGGAGTAAAAATCCTATTCACACTTTGCTTAGAAAGATTTTGAGGTGAAAGTTCCCTATGATACATGGGGTGGGGCTTGGGGGGACCAAGAGGCAGAAAACAGGGCCAGTGACCCCCCAACCCCCACTGCTCCCTCAAGGCCCTGGTACCCACACCTCAGAAGTGACACAGACCCCAGTCAGACGGGGGGGTGGGGAGAAGGCGGCTCCCCTCTGGTCCGTGCTCAGGCTCCCGCCCCCCTCACCTCCTCAGCCTGAGTGGACAGCCCCCACAGGTCACTCCCTGCTCCCTCCACTGTCCTGCTCAGGCGGGGACCATACAGGACTCTCTAGCCCACCAAACCCATTTGGCAGTGACCTGATGAGCCCACAGGTGCATGCCACATGAGAGGCCCTGGCCCAGGCCCCATCTGCGTGAGTAGGTCACAGGTGAAGGGCTGCGGAGGGGCTGCAGCAACGTTTCTATGCAGTGTCCCCAGGCGGCCCCCCACCACCACCGCAGACAGTGTCACATCAGACCTGGGCTTACGATGACTCACGGGCCTCTCCAACCCATTCCACCCCCCCCCACCACGCCACCCGAGCTGCAGATCCACAGCAGCCTCCCTCCCAATGCATCAGCCCACCACTTGGGGGGTAAATGACCCCTCCGAGCCTGCCCCTCCTCCCAGACCACTTCTCAAAGAATGAGGCTGGGTCTGTCCCCACCGCCCACCCCCCTCACACCAATCCCAGCTGCTATGTGACCCCATTCTTCTAAGACTCAATTCAGGATCCCACCCCCGCCCCTAACTCCCTCCCCCAGGGCCAGGACGGCTGCAGCCCTGGCCCCTCACCCCTGGGACCAGGCCACCCACATCCAGCCCACCATCCTGCTCCTTACCCTCCCCACTCCTACCCAGTACCCCAGGTGGGTCGTGCGGGAGCCATCTGACTTGGATTAGACAATTCTCTACCCAGAGCGATGAGGTGCTGCCACACCTCATCATGGATACAAGCACACACTAAAGTGTCACTCTAAAGACTTAGGAATTAAAGTGAAATAAACTAGAAGCTGTACCGTCCCCTCTGCCCCACTCACAGGGCTTAAAGTGCTTTAGCAGTCTGAGGATGAGCAAGTGAGCAGGGGGCTTCTCTTATCCCAACCTCACAGGTCTGTGTTCAGCCCAGAAGCCTAGCCCATTTCAAGAACACCCCCACAGTCTCTATCCAAAAGGCAAAAGGAAAAGATTTAAAAAAAAAATCAGAAGGGTCAGAGCCCCAGGGGGCCCCACCCCAACCCACTACAAGCTACTTCAAGTCTGCTACTGGGGGAAGTGAGGGGAAAACTAGGGCCCAGAGGCTCATCCCCCGTCTCTGGTGGTTACCAGAGGCTCCTTCTGTCTTCAGCATCACAGCCCAGGCTTCAACCCCTCCCCTACCATCCTGGGCAGGGGAAGGGGCTGCACCCTCAGTACTTGTTGATTCCAAAAATCCGGACTCCGTGGAGCTGGGGCAGCTTGGGAATGAGCACACTCATCAAAGACACAGTGTTGAGGATGAAATGGATCTGGTCGTACTTGGTATAGAAGCTGGTGAGGAAGTACCTGTAGGAGGAGGTTGGGAGGAGGTATAAAACTCTGTTTGAAAGATCCCTTTCTTCCCCCGTCCCTGGCTGGGGTAGACAGATTCCTGACAGTGAGGAGTTACGGCAAAGACCCCCCAGACCTGAAGTAGGGTGGTAAGATCCCCCCAACTACAGAAGCCCCTGCTGACCCAGGCCCCGTGCTCTACCCCAGACCTGTGGACCAAACTCAGTGGCAGGAAGGAAGCTCCAACGGAGGACAGACAGGACCAGGGAGTCACAACCTGAGCGCAGCAAGAGACCCAGGGGCACCCCAGCCTTTCTTCCTCTGCTCATTCCTAAGCCAAGAGACACAGCTGGCGAGGGGTTTAAGCCTCGCAGGGCCCCAGGGTTCCGCAGGCCTTGGCCTTTCCACTGGCATCCTCCTCTGCCCAAGGCACTCACAGCACGATGGGTGTGATGGTCAGGAATTTCCGAGACGCGGTGAACTGGACCCCATAGTCCATCTGCTCCCAGTGGGTGAGCAGCCTCGCCTTGCCCTGGTCCGGGGTCTCAAAGGGTGTCCCCTTCACTGTGTGCAGGAAGATGTACATGCCCTGGAGGAAGGGGCCTTCGTTAGAGGACGCAGAAAGCCAAGGGCCCTCCCGCTCAGCTCCTCTGCCCCAGTCACAGACATGGGCTCCCAGCGATTCGGAGCCCCATCTACTGGGCAGGGGGATGCGGGCCGGAGGTCAGGCTGGAGCAGCTGAGAGACTGGCCAGAGAATAAGGAGACCCACTGGGTGAGAGGGCAGGCCTGGCATGAGAATTCCCGGGGAGGAGTCACCCATAGAACCAGCAAGGAGACGCTGTCCCTCCTGCCCAGGACTAGGCTTCCTGCGCCAGCTGGGAGGAGGCCAGCTGATGGGAAGGTACCAGGTCTTGCTTGCCCACCAAGAGTACCAGGGAGCAAGCAGGTAGTGAAAGAGCATGGAGGGGCAAGAGAGAAGGACACTCAGATCCTGACTGGGGGAAGAGGCATTTCTGCCCCAGGTTAGGCATCCAAGTGCTGCAGACTCTTTGGGATTCTTAGCTCAGCTCTTGATGACCCCCTCTTCCAAACCATAAGCCACCCCGTTCAAGAGGTGTGGCCATAGCTGCAGATTTTATTCCAGTTACAGGAAGTGGGGCAGAAACAAGAGAACTCTGGTGACTGATGTCAGCATGTCACCCTGACATCTGGCCCACGTCTGTGGGGGAGGGTCCCCTACCCCCACCCCAACCCCACCAAAGGCAGGCAGCAGGCAGGCCCTCACCATGTTGTGGATGAGGTTGGTGAGGGTCCAGACGACGGGGACGCTCACAAAGGGGATGCTGAGCAGTACGACGTGGAGAAGCCCGATGGCCAGCACGTACGAGAGCCAGATGCCGCGGCTGTTCATCACCCGCGTGTTGGGGTTCACCTCGCTGTGTGCTGTTCCCACGTTCATCCTGCCGCCCCTCTCCTGCCACTGTCCTACAAACAAGCAGCACAGGTGAGACAGGTTACACCACTTTCCCTGCTCCCTCACACCTTCCAATTCCTGCAGGGAGGCAGGCTTTATCCATTTCCCGCCGCTGGGCTGGGACAAACACCAAGCTGCTCTGCACGTCATCCAATCAGGACAGTGCCCTTCCAGGCATTGGAACTGCCTGGGTGGACAGGCCATCAACAGGCATCCAGCCCCAGAGCAAAGAAACCACTGCCTGTCCTGCAATCTCGCGCTCTAGGGGGCCCTCTACCCAAGAAGCCCAGGGCAGGGGAGAAGAGGCCCATGCCCTAACACTCACTCAGCAGTAACCCTGCGGGACTCCGTCTCACCGAGGGTCTGATGCGACACATCTCCACCCCTGAGCCCCAGCTCTCCTCATGAGAAGAAATAAAAGGAGATGAGAACAGGCAGTAGTGGATGAAGTATTTGAGGGTCACTGTTTCTACCCACCTTTCCTAATTCTCCAATTCTGGGTATCCCTGCACCCTAACTCAGGAGAATTGGTGGGGGTAGAAAGAGAGAGAAAAGGAAAAAAGAGAAAACAGACAAGAGACAACCTTTGCCCAGACCTGGAAGCTGCCTTCTTGGGGACACAAAACCACCCATCCAGATGTTTTATCCATTTGGCAGCCACTCAGGCTAGCCCTCCTGATGCCACCCATTTTCCTGCCAAACCACCTCGGCCCTTTTCCCTATTAGAGGAGGGGCAAGGACAGTGAACATGATCAACATCTACAGTGCCCATGGGTGTCTGGAGCCCACATCAACAGATGTCTCCCAGGGACACACCTACGGCCTCTCTCCTGACCCCTTTCCTCTCTGTCCACCCATCCTCACCTGAGCCTCTTTTCCTAGTATCTGTTTCCAAGTGTAAGTTATTAGCACCATGCCTTCCTCTGCCCAGTTCCAAGAGCAGAGGCCCTGCAGCAAGGGGAACCAGGAGGGCTGCCCTGGCTGCCCATGAAACCATGCAGCCCAGCCCGTTCTTGGATGCAGCTAAGGAGGGGAACGAGCAGCCCCTTGTCCAGAGCTCAGCTGTCCCCAGAACTCTGAGGGCCCTCTGACCAGCAGGAGGTGGGAACAGATGGCACCTTTGTACTGGCTCACCTCCTGAGCTAAGGGGAGATCCTGCCCAATAAAGACCCTAAGGTCATCACCATGGTAACAGCCCCATCTTTCCTGGGGATACAGAAGGGAGTCCCAGATGAGGGTATCCTGGAAGTGCTCAGAAGGTCATCACCCGACCCTGCTGCGATGACCTCCCCCACCCCCAGACTCAGTTGCCCTCTATTTCTGGGTGGGATCACACAGACTGCATAGGAGATGGAATTCTCAAGGATCAGTTCCTTACTTCCAGAATAATGGGAACAAGTTTCTGCCTCTCGGATAGCTCCAAGCTTAGAGACCGCAGGGGACATGTGACCCACAACACACCTTCCCAACATACAAACATACATGCGATGGCTCCAAAAGCAGTCATGCTCTTGGGGCCCATAAGCTCAACCCATTAGGCTGGATAATTGGGCCTAAGAGAAACCCAGGGAACTAGAAAACCAGGACTGGCTCGGTTGTTTACCTTCCCAGGGCCTTAGGGCTTCAGTTACCCAAACACAGCTCCTGGGAAACCTACTACACAAAAGCCTCCACCTGGCAGAATGGGAGTGGAGGGTGGGGGAGACTGGCTAGGAAGTGACGGCCTGGAGGGCTTAACTACTGACGAAGAAGAGGGAGAGAGTTCCCCAAGTAGGACCAGAAACTGCTTCCCTTCCCCACTTCCCCCTAACCTAGACCTACAAAGACAAAGGAGTAGCAAGACCTCTAGCCCTCCCGAGGAGCCTTGCTGAGTCCCAGATGATTCGACACTCCTTGCTGGCTGTAACAGGGCACCCAGCAAAGTCTGAGACGTCTCGGGGCGGGGCGGGGCTCAGACCTATGGCTTCAACAGATACCCTGGGAAGCTTCTTTCTGCAGCCTGAACACCAGGTGCCCTGAGAGCAGAAATTCCCAGGAGACACCCCCCCTCCCCCGGCCCCAGCCAAAAAAAAGATAGAAAAGTCAATAAACTAAGGGAAAGACTGGCAGCAATAAACTAAGAAAAGCTCTCTTGAGACTTTTGTGTGACTAAGGGTACACACCACTTCCATTAGTGAAATAACCAACTGCCCCTGGCCCAGAAGGGGAGAAATGGGAAGAAGAAGCTGGCAGACACAAAGTAAGCTCACAGCAGCTGAGGCTGAAAAGTTCTGCCACTAAACTAGCAGGTGGCTGCCCGCGTCAGTCCCCGAGGTGGTTTCATAACCTGCCTCAAACCAAAGCCTGCAGCAACTCTGTTCTGTTAACTACTTTCTTGCAGGCAGCTCTTTCCCACTCCTTCCCTCCCTTTCCTACTGGCTCCTACACAAATATCTCTGCCCAGTCTGTCAGACACCTAAGCCAACACCACAGTACCAACGGCCAGGTGAGCTGCTTCGTGATCTCTCTCCCAACTAAGGGCAGCAAATCTTTCGCCTTCTGGGTGAGGAGCTCAAAGCACAGCAGCCTGCAACCTGGACCCCAGCGGGGAGTCCCTGACACAAAGCCACTGTCTTTCTGCCCACCCCCCAACCGGCAGGGCCACCACCGTCACTCACCACTTAGCTCCGGTTCTTCCTCCCGGACTCGAGAGGGCGGTGGGGATGGAAAGAAGGCGAGAAGAGGCGCGAACCCCTACTAGCACGGGGAGAGGGTGAGACGAGGAGGCGGAGTCCTCACTATTGTTGGGGTTTACAGAGTGGGACTTCGAGACGAAGTGGGGGGTCTACGCTCCACACCCCCCAGCCTGGGACCTCGCACTCGGAGCCTGGCCTCGTCCGGAGCCCCACCCCCACCCCCACACGTTCACCCAGCTGGAAGCGGCCAAACCTTTATCCCCGAAGCCCAGCCTCTCCCCGCCCCCATCCCCAGCCCAAGCGCTTCTCCTCGACGCCCCATCCCCTGCCTCCTGCCCCCACTTCCCCTTTGGGCATCACTTCGACTGATGCACCCCCGCTCCCCGGCCGAAGCACCCCTGCCACCTCCACTCGCCCTGTCCCGATCCCCTCCAACCAGGGCGCCACCCCAACAGCCCCCACCTCCTTTCCCGTCCCTCCTGTAGCCCCAGGGTACTCCCGGTTTGGCCACTCTACCGCCGCCCGTCTGGACTCACCGTGTGGGGCCGGAGGTCGAGGCCCGGGAAGGGTGCCCGGGGGCGGGGGCCGCTGCTGCTCCAGCAGCTGTAATGAGCCGCGGCCGCAGCCACCCCGCTGGCAGCTCGAGCCGAATCAGCGCCCCGCGCCAGCCCCCATTACGTCACCGCCCAGCGCCGGGCCGCCCGCAGCCTCCTGGGAGTTGTAGTATTTACCCCTGCTCCAGGCCAGGGATCTCTGGGGCCGCCCGCAGGTTTCAACTGTACGCGAAACAAAGGTCAGCTGGTATAGCTTTGACGCATAACAATGCCTGTTTTGGCGTCAGCGTGCTTCTTGTGGAGTTTACTCTTGTCCGGTTTTGCAGATGAGGAAACTTTAAGTTTTAAGTAACTTGCCATAGGTCCCCGCTGGATTCCAGCCTGAACTGAAACCCAGAAATTCTGACCCCAAGTCAGAGTTTTTCAACTACACCTCGCTGCCTCTGGCTCTCCAGACAACTACTGGCTCTGCCCCTGTCGGGCCCTCCTGGAAGCGGATTTTTCGCAATATTGGTTAGTATGAGAGTCTGGAGGGCAGAGAACTAAGTCCACAGCCTGTCTGCTGCTCAGTTACACCTGACCCAGGCCGGCCTGGGCCAGGTCTCATCTTTGGCCTTCCCACATTAGACGTGGGAAGAAGACATGTGACTTGGGAAGCCACCCTGATGAATAACCAGGTCCCTGAGTCCCAGTCCCAGGTCAGCTGTGTGGGTTTGGGGTGGCTTTGAGGTCTGCAGTTTTCCCCTCAGAACTCTGCAGGCCAGGGCACAGATTTTCCTGCCAGGAAGACTAAGCAGGTACTACTTCACCAGCAGTGTAACCCTCAGCAAATAAGTTGTCTTAATCTCCAATTCCATACCTGTGAAAACCTATCTCCAAGGTTGTGGAAATTCAAAAGAATGTTTGCAAAGCGACTGTTATATTGTAGGAAGCTGTTTCTGTAGGAGGCTGAACCTAAGGACTCTTGAGGTCTCCTGGGTCACTCCCACTCTCCATGTCACCAAGAGGGCCTTGTTTGAGTAGTTTCTACTTTCCCTGCCCCAGCTTTTAAGTCCACTCTATGCCCAGCAGGGCTGGAATAGCAGGATCAGGTGATGTCACAACTGGCCAACCTGCCTGGCTGTGAACACACACTGAAATGAAGGTGAGGGAACAGAAAGGAGAATGCTGGTCCAGGGAACCTGGGGAGCACTCCTCTGTGACCTCACCCATCCTCTCACCAAGGGGCTGCCAGGAAACAGCTGTCATAAAGCTGGAGTGGGTCCCTGAGGGACCTATTGGACGCCCAACAGGTGGATATCTGAACCACTCAGGGCAGGAGAACAGGCAGCTTCTGAAATATTTCCAGGGCCAGTAGCTCGAGAGCACTCAGCCCAAGACTTGAATAGTCACCCCAGAGTCTTTTTTTTTTTTTACCCCAGTCTTAAACAGTTGTGCCTGGGCCTTACAGAAGTTCCTGCTGGTTGGTAGAGGCCCCTTCTGAAGAAATAAGCAAAAACTGCATGTTGTCCTCCCATAGAGGCCTCCCCAGTACTGAGGAAAAAAAAATTTTCTTATTTTTCCCAAAATGCGTCTACTGGACTCCTTCCACTTTTCTCTAGGAGTCTTTCATCCTCCCCATAGTTGATCAAGCTCTCTGATCTTTGCCAATTTCCTGTCTGTGAAGTTCAGTGACCCAGACTGGTTCCAGGCCTCAGACAAGGGTCTGACTAAATGCATAGTCTAACGGAAAGATTACTGGACATGCCATGCCCTATTAATAGCTCCTGTTATCAAGGGTGGTTTTTTTTTTTTTTCTACAATGAGAATGAACAGAGTCCTGACTCACTCTAGGTTTGTGGTGAATTGTGGATCGCTTTCTGCTTAATTTAGCCTGAGTCCCTGTCATCACCTTTCTCCTCTGGCTCTCTGCCCTTGTAATTACCATGTTTTCACCAGACATCCTTCAGCCTTGAATAGGCCTAAGCACAGTCCAGAATGAGTGACAGCACTCTTATGTGGCGCTGGCCAGTGTGTAACCCCTCAAACAAACAATTTCTGATATATGCCAAGAGGTTAAAAAATTGTTCAGGCCTCGGAGCCATGATTACACTTCTGGTAGCAGATTTCGAGGAAGTATAGCCCATGTACTATATGTGAGGGTGTTCATTCCAGCATTATCTATAACAATAGAAAACTGAAAGCAACCCAGTTCAGTTCAATTCAGTCCCTCAGTCATGTCTGACTCTTCGCAACCCTGTGAACCNAGAAGACTCTTGAGAGTCCCTTGGACTGCAAGGAGATCCAACCAGTCCATCCTAAAGGAGATCAGTCCTGGGTGTTCATTGGAAGGATTGATGTTGAAGCTGAAACTCTGATACTTTGGCCACCTCATGCAAAGAGTTGACTCATTGGAAAAGACCCTGATGCTGGGAGGGATTGGGGGCAGGAGGAGGAGGGGACAACAGAAGATGAGATGGCTGGATGGCATCACCGACTCGATGGGCATGAGTGAGAGTAAACTCAGGGAGTTGGTGATGGACAGGGAGGCCTGGTGTGCTGCGATTCACGGGGTCACAAAGAGTCGGACACGACTGAGCGACTGAACTGAACTAAACTGAACTGCGGTTGGTCATAACTTTCCTTCCAAGGAGTAAGCATCTTTTAATTGCATGGCTGCAATCACCATCTGCAGTGATTTTGGAGCCCAGAAAAATAAAGTTAGCCACTGTTTCCACTGTCTCCCCATCCCAAGTGCCCAAGAAAAAAGTCATAGTACTATATCCACTGAGTGACATAGAAGGAAGCCATATAGTAAATGATTGTGACTAAGGTTAAATGAAAAGATCAGGATATAAAATAGCCTGTGCTGGGAGTTACCTAGCAGTCCAGTGGTTAAGCATAGGGCTTTCAGTGTTGTAGGCCTGGGTTCAATCCCTGGTCAGGGAACTAAGATCCCAAAAGCCATGCAGCCTGGCAAGAAAAAAAAAAGTCTGAGCACTCCCCAGGGATGCAGTCAGCAAAACAAAAACCCAACTCCATCAACAAATCAATTGGAAGTAAAAAAGGAGAGGGAGAGACTTAAAGGAAATTAAGAAATCTATCAATTAAAAGGCTTATTGGGGTCCTCATTAAAGTACACCAACTTTAAAAGAATATTTAAATTATTGAGGAAATTTGAATGCCAACTATTCAAATTGATGATTTTAATGAAATATACATTTTAAGGCATGGTAGGGTGCTGTGGTAATTTTTTCAATAAAAAAGTCCTTCTTATCTTCTGGACATATATGCTAAAATATATGTGGATGAAATTATATGATGACTGGATTTGCTTCAAAATAATCTGGGCTAGGGGTGGGGGAGGGGAAGAAAAGAAGTGAGTTGGGCCGTGAGGTGATAATTATTGAAACCAGGAGATGGGGACATGAGATTATTCCTATTATTTTCTATGCTTTTTTGCATTTGAAATTGTCCACAATAAAAAGTTTTTATAAACCTGCAAATGCATTAACGATTATGATGTGGCAAGACAGAGCAACACTGGTAAGATCCCGGCACCAGACTGCCAGGGTTCAAGTCCCAGCTCCTGTGGTTGCCAGCTGTGTGACCTTAGACGAGTCACTGGACCTCTCTGCGCTGTGGTTCCTAGAAATGAAGAATGTTGATCTTCATGGTGATACCGGCCACGTGTTGTTGTGAGAATTAAATGGGTCACTACACGTGAAGCACTTAGAACAAATCCGGGCACTCAGGAATCGTTATCGACTTTTGTTAATCCAGTCCACATTTGAGTGATATTTGATCATCTACTTCACTAGGCTGTGGAAATCCAATAAAATAAAAACAGATCTTGTGTTAGGATGGAGGGGTTGCGGGTGATCTTTTTCATTCTCTAGTTTCAAACTTTGTGTAATGTGAGATTATTCGTTTTAAATTTTTTATGAAAAGTGTTTATGTTTTTAAAACAGAGTGAGTCATCTTCACTGACTTCTCCCTGCCCTCTGGGAACTCCTTAGTCTGCTCAAGTAGACATGTTCCCAGCCTTGGGGTGTTTCCATCTGGTGGGGTGGTGTGGCCTCTGCTTGCCACAGATACACCGTGTGGGCCGAGATAGCAAACAGGGGCGGGGTCACAAGCTGAGAACATGTTCCTGGGGTGCTGGCAGTGGTGGGAAGTGAGGAGGTGGGATGTCAAGAAACAGAACCCCTTCTTCTGAACCCCGGGGGGAATGACTGAGCCCTCCACTCTTATCACCTCCTACTCCCCTCCAATTCATTCTAGCTGCTCTCCAGCTCCCCCCACCTCACCTCCCTCCTTCCAGAAGGGGAGGTGTTGAGGTCACACCCAGAGCAAGTGCAAGGAAGCAAAGAGCTGTTTATGTCCGCAGCTGTTTTTGTTTGGGTGGGGGGGCACCCCGGACATGTGGTGGCAGCGGAAGGGAGGGAGCAGTGATGCTGAGCTATCAGAGCCCTGAGTGAGTTTACCAAGTTGATGAGAAACAGGAGGAGGTGCCAGGACAGGCCGAGTTGCCAGTGGGCACTCCACTCTCCTCCCCTCGCCCTGCCCTGTGGTTGGCTATTTTGGGCTGCAGAGGGAAAGGGCCGAGCTTGCCAGGGCCTCCCGGGCCAGAATCAAGGCTAGGGAACCAGAACCTCCCTCTGGGAACCAAGAGCGGGCTGCTCATCAGGAACCCCTCCAACTGCATATTCTCTGATACAAACAACTGAGATTTTCCCTTATGCGGGGAGAAAAAAAAAAAGTTTAGAAAACTGTAAATATCACCAGATCAAAAGGGCAATGGATATAAAAACAGTAGCTTTAAGAAAAGCTCCCCTAGGTTCCTTCTAGTCTCATGACTACCCCTAGCAGTCCCCACCTCTTTAGGAATTCTGGGCTGCCACTGCCCCAGATCAGCTTCCGCCTTCCCCTCCTAATACAGCTTTTCTTTCAGGGGTAATCACAGCCACCATTATTAGCATTTGCTCTGTTCCAGGCACTGGGCAAAAGGCCTTACCTACATCAACTCTCTCCATCTTTCAAACAACTCTGTGAGATAGGTATATAGGTAGGTAGATAGGGTTTTGTTTTGGGGTTTTTTTTTTTTTGGCTATACTGGGTCTTCGTTGCTCCTCAGGCTTTTCTCTAGTTGCAGTCAGCCACTCTAGTAGCCACTAGGCTACTCTCTAGTTGTGATGATTCGCGGGCTTCTCGTTGCAGTGGCTTCTCTTGTTGGGGAGCATGGGATCCAGGGCATGCGGGCTTCAGTAGTTGCTGCTCCTCAGCCCTAGAGCACAGGCTCAATATTTGCAGCACAAGAGCTTAGTTACTCCACTGCATGTGGGATCTTCCCCGGACCAGGGATCGAACCCGTGTCCCCTGCATTGGCAGGCAGATATTTTACCACTGAGCCACCAGGGAAGCCCCAATAGGTATTTTTATTATCTCCACTTTGCAAAGGAGAAAACTGCCGTAGGAAGTTTAAATATTTTGCCGAAGGTCACACAGCCAGGAAATGGCATTTCTCCCAAAAGTCAATCCTGGCCACACACACTGCTGCAACCATCTGTCCTTCATGTTTGCATCAGTGCCTTATAAAGACTTCTCTCCTGCACTGGGAGCGCTGTATTTATGTTACACATCCACTGCCCCTGGAGGCTGCTTGCTCTGTATTTCTTACGGACATGTGGTGGCAGCGGAAGGGAGGGGGCAGTGATGCTGAGCTATCAGAGCCCTGAGTGAGTTTACCAAGTTGATGAGAAACAGGAGGAGGTGCCAGGACAGGCCGAGTTGCCAGTGGGCACTCCACTCTCCTCCCCTCGCCCTGCCCTGTGGTTGGCTATTTTGGGCTGCAGAGGGAAAGGGCCGAGCTTGCCAGGGCCTCCCGGGCCAGAATCAAGGCTAGGGAACCAGAACCTCCCTCTGGGAACCAAGAGCGGGCTGCTCATCAGGAACCCCTCCAACTGCATATTCTCTGATACAAACAACTGAGATTTTCCCTTATGCGGGGAGAAAAAAAAAAAGTTTAGAAAACTGTAAATATCACCAGATCAAAAGGGCAATGGATATAAAAACAGTAGCTTTAAGAAAAGCTCCCCTAGGTTCCTTCTAGTCTCATGACTACCCCTAGCAGTCCCCACCTCTTTAGGAATTCTGGGCTGCCACTGCCCCAGATCAGCTTCCGCCTTCCCCTCCTAATACAGCTTTTCTTTCAGGGGTAATCACAGCCACCATTATTAGCATTTGCTCTGTTCCAGGCACTGGGCAAAAGGCCTTACCTACATCAACTCTCTCCATCTTTCAAACAACTCTGTGAGGTAGGTATATAGGTAGGTAGATAGGGTTTTGTTTTGGGGTTTTTTTTTTTGCTATACTGGGTCTTCGTTGCTCCTCAGGCTTTTCTCTAGTTGCAGTCAGCCACTCTAGTAGCCACTAGGCTACTCTCTAGTTGTGATGATTCGCGGGCTTCTCGTTGCAGTGGCTTCTCTTGTTGGGGAGCATGGGATCCAGGGCATGCGGGCTTCAGTAGTTGCTGCTCCTCAGCCCTAGAGCACAGGCTCAATATTTGCAGCACAAGAGCTTAGTTACTCCACTGCATGTGGGATCTTCCCCGGACCAGGGATCGAACCCGTGTCCCCTGCATTGGCAGGCAGATATTTTACCACTGAGCCACCAGGGAAGCCCCAATAGGTATTTTTATTATCTCCACTTTGCAAAGGAGAAAACTGCCGTAGGAAGTTTAAATATTTTGCCGAAGGTCACACAGCCAGGAAATGGCATTTCTCCCAAAAGTCAATCCTGGCCACACACACTGCTGCAACCATCTGTCCTTCATGTTTGCATCAGTGCCTTATAAAGACTTCTCTCCTGCACTGGGAGCGCTGTATTTATGTTACACATCCACTGCCCCTGGAGGCTGCTTGCTCTGTATTTCTTACTCATATTTGCATTTCCTGTATATAATAGGTTCTCAGGAAATGTTAGCTGTGACGCACACCTACCAAACTACTGCTGCATCAAGCCCCTAACCACTCTCCCCAAACCACACCTGGTCCTCTCTCGCTCTTGTCTCAGCCTACAATGACTTTGTGCTGCTGGTAGACTCCTGTTTGTTCCAGAAAGCCACCCCTCACCTGTCTCCTTCTCTGTGAAGGAGACTGTCCAAACAGAACCCGCTGCTTCATCCTCTCAGCTTCTCTGACGCCTGCAGATGCCTCAGCTACAGCCCACCCCTAGGCCATCAAGAGGCCAAATTTGCCCGCATACCCATCTTCCCCTATTGTCTGAAGGCTATTCTACTTCTCTCTGCATCCCCAATGCCTAAGAGGCCCAGCAGGTGTGTGCCGAACTAAGGAGAGAGTACGTCTGAGGATGGGAGCGTGAGGTATGTACACCCTTGTCAGTTTCCACAAAAGAGCAGAGGACTTTATTGCCCCCAAAGCCCAAACTGCCCAAGAGACTGGTGTTAGATGGGTCCCTGGTTGACATGCTGGGTCAAGGAGACAGCCCTCCTCCTTTCCTTTCAGTTGTCACTCTCTACCCAGGCTGAGCCTGGGGGCGGCACTTTCAATATAAGGCAGGGAGGGGCCTAGAGGACTGCTCAACTTCCTTCCTCCAAAGTCACATCTCTGGGGCATGGAGTTACTATCGTTGGAGAGAAGACTTGTGACTCAGGCCACAGAGGGTGGGGGCCTTCGGGGCCTACTTTCTAGGGCCCTGAACTTGGGAGCCAAGCCTTGCCATGCCTCAGCCTCTTCCCTGCCTCATCATCATAGATACATTAAACATCAGGCTGGAAGGGATTTCAGAGGCCAAGAGTCCAGAGAACCAAAGACCCAGGGGAATTGGGGGAGGATGTGCCCACTGGCACAAATGTCTGATGACCTTGAGCTCCTCCAGTCATAGCTCCTTCAGTCGCCCATCCCTCATCACTTTCCCATCTGGACTGGTGTAGTAGCTCGTCTTTCATTCACCAATACATCTTCCACACGGCCAGCAGCATGATCCACATTCAAAGCTAATTTTAATACCCTTCCATCCATCAGCCATGGAAACAAGTCCTAATTCTTGCCTTGTATACAAGGCCCCAGGATCTAGATCTTTTCCACTTTAACTACAGCCTTTGCCACCACCCCTTCAGCTCTACATCTAGAAGCCAAGTCTTCTGATGCTCCCTTCTTCCTGCATATACTCAGCGGCTCCACCTGATGAACTCAGCCTTAAACAACTCAAATATCCCTCCCTGGTAAAGCCTTCCCTGAGATCTTGGAAAAGTTAGTGTATCAGGTAGGAATGCTCTCAGTTAAAAGCAACAGAAAACCCAAGCAAAGGAATGATTCTGACCCTGGGTTGCCATCAGAATCACCTAAAGAGGAACTTCCCTGGTGGTCCAATGGTTAAGACTCTGCGCTTCCAGTGCAGTGAATGCAGGTTTAAACCAGGGGGTTAGGGAGCTAAGATCTTTTGTGCCATGAGGCATGGCCAAAAATATTTTTTTAATGAAAAATATTTAAAAGAATCACCTAAGGAGCTTTAAAAAGTCCCCATCACTGTACATATGCCAGATCAATTTAATTAGAATCTTTGAGGTGGACCCAGGCATCTGTAATTCTCAACACCTCCCATGTTCTAATGTGCAGCTAAGTTAAGAAGCACTGAAGCAGGAGTTATCTTTCTCACATTATGAGTCCAAAAGTAGGCAGTTGCTGGTGTTGACTGAGTGGCTTAGCCATATCCAGGCCAGGTCTCAATGATACTTTGACCTTTCCTTTCTGCTTTGCTGCCTCAAGGTCAAAATATGGTTGTAGTTGCCTCTTCATGTCCAATGCCTAAAGAAAGTTGTAGAGAGAAGGGGAGGGTTCAATCCATCCTCTTTTTATGAGCAAATCAAAGACTGTCCTAGAAACCCCTCAGTCAACTTCAGCTTAGATGTCATTGGTCACAGTGAGCCACACCCAGCTGCCAAGATCGCTCCTCCCAAATCAGTGCGTGTTATCGAGGAAGGAGCTCAGGAATGGACACTGAAGGGTGGCAGAATACACCACCCCAAAATATGTCACTTGGGCCTAAGGATTATTTTGAACAGATGCAAGAAGGGCCTTCTAATCTCCTCTTTTCTTCCAGAAAAGAAAATGGAAGTGTTCATCACTCAGTGATGTCCAACCGTTTGCGACCCCATGGACGATAGCCCACCAAGCTCCTCTGTCCAAGGACTTCTCCAGGTGAGAATACTGGAGTAAGTAGGACCTTGTCATTTATCTTTTTTATATATAGTGGTATGTATCTGTTAGCCCCAGATTCCAAGTTTATCCCTTCTCATCCATATAAATGTGTATGCTTTTCTCCTGTTAATCTGCTTATGTCACTTCAATTAACAGGCCCAGCTGAAAAGCCCTAATTGGGCAGGGAAAAACTGTTGCCTCCCCTAGAGCACCAGCAGATTCTGCCACGGTGACTTAACCTCTCTCTTGGCTTCACACATCATCTGGCAAACATCACATTAAAGGCATTGTGCAGACGTGTGTCAACATGTCTGTGTCTCCCGCCAGACTGGCAGTTCTTAACTAAGACTGAACATTAGAAATACCTGGGGAGCATTTTGAAAAATACCAGTGCATACACCCCATCCACAGAGATTTTAATTGGTCCAGGTACACCCAAGCATAACTAATTTTAGAAACTCCCCAGAGTGATTCTAATGGGCAGACTGGGTGAACCACTGGGCTAACCACTGCTATCTAAGACCTTCAAAACGGGGGCTGGGGACTCCCCTGGCAGTTCTGTGATTAAGACTTCACCTTCCAATGCAGGGGGGAGTGAGTTTGCTCCCTGGTCAGGGAGTAAAGATCCCACATGCCTCATAGCCAAAAACTAAAACATAAAAAAAAAAAACAACTAAAAGCAATATTGTAACAAATTCAATAAAGACTTTTTAAATGGTCCACATTAAAAAAAAGAGAGAGAAACTTAAAAGAACAGCGGCTGAATCTTGAGCACAGCACTACTTATAACATGGGACTCACAGGGTATCTTCACTGAATGAACAAATGAATAAATGAATGAACAATGGAGAAGAACTTCTGCTTCAGCCTCGTTCACCCTCAGACTGTACTGTGCACCGTTCTGAGTGTTATTCTTCCTTCTTCTCTGTTTTCTCATCTCTACTGAGCACCACATTCAATCACCCTCAGTGAATGACCTCCGTGGGCCAGCCGGACCCTCCTGGGTGCACGGACTTCCTGCTTCTCTGACAGCTGCCATGCCAGACACCCCAGTCCCACTCTTACCTGGCAGCAGCCCTAGTTGAAGGAGATAACTCTCTCCATCCACATCCAGGATCCCATCTTGTGCCTTAGCTAAAGCCCCCACCCAGTGTGACAAGACAGCAGTGGGGTGGGGGGGGCTAGGGTTCTATGTGCTTCCTCTTCCACACTCAGCCCCAATCCCAAAGTGGAACCCCAAGTATTCAGTAGCAGAGTGTCTGGCCTTACGAATAAGCAACCCACAGACAAAATATCCACTTCTTCTGCCCAAGTGTAGAAAATGTGTCTTATCGGATTCCGTAGACAATCTGCAGTCTGAGCAATGACCCTGTTAATGTCACCAGAATGAGTCAGTGGTGGGCACATCCTCAGTGATAACATCATCCCATATCCTCGCCTCTGATTCTGACTTCCATTACCCGCCTGAAAATGCTCATTCCAGGTCCCCTACGGGGCCAGGCTCAGGTCCTGTAACCTGTGCAGGGCCCCATGCCCTCCATTCAGTAGGGCCCTGCACTTGGTTTTACAACCTACTGCTGTTGCCGTCTTGAAATTCTCAAGTTTTGAACAAAGGACCCCACATCTTCATTTTGCACTGAAGCCTGCAGTGCTGTTCACCCATAGTCTCTTAGAAAATCCAACAAGGTTTTTTCCTCCCCAGAAAGGCCTCCACAGCATATGACCTCAGCTCTCTGTGACACCCATTCTTCTGTTCCCTTCCCTTACATTAGAAGAGGGTGGCGTGATGGGGCGGTGTGGCTGTAAATGACGATGGTCAGGATCAAGAGACCCTGGGGAATAAGTCATCCAAGCTCTCCCCAGCTCCTGGGCATGAGGGAGAGTTAAAAGTACCAGCTTGGGAGCTCAAGGCCCCAGCAAACTAAGAGAACATGAGTCAGGTCCAATCCAGAACAGAAAACCAGTGAGAAAACTTCTAGATGACTGTATGGGACTTCAGAAACCTTGAAGAACCCCCTCCAGCTCCTTAAGGGGCCATCTGCCAACAGTGCAGAGAACTAACAGTGCTCCTTGCCAGGCACTGGACACCCTTCAGGGAGCCAGAAGATGAGGTCCTCCCAAGAGAGACAAGTTTTCCCAGAAAAAGGGTGAAGGAAGCTTATTTACCATGGAAGAAGGTGTGCGCAGTAGGAGGAGAGACAGGTTGCTGAAGACAGTGGTGTGAGATGAGGCTCCCCCAGGCCTGCCAAGTGGGAATCCTCCTACTGAGCCAGGCTCTGGGCAGAGGGCAGAGGTTCTAGGAGGCAGAGTCTCAGCCCTGGCAGAGAGAGGAAGGATAGAGGCTAGCAATGTCCAGGCCTTGGAAAGGAAGCCTGAAGCAGGGAATAGAATTGGGGCCTGGTCTTCCCACGACAGGGCTCATCAGAGTCTGGGATCTACCCTCTCTGGGCATCGCCTGGCAAGACCAGGGCTCAGGTATCCGACACCTGGGGCCCGGAGTCACATGCCAGGAAACCCAACACTCCTGGGCCCCAGCCCCCAGCTTCCAGTAGCTACGGGAGCAGGGCTCCGGAGGAGGAAGTGGGTCTCCAGAGTCGCACCACAGGGAGGCTACTTCCGGGAAGAGGGCAGCACCGGAGAAGGCTCTCCCAGCAACAGGGTGAGAGGCTGGGAAGACGAGGAGGGAGAGGACAGGGAGGAAGAGTGGGGCGGAGAGGACAGGGCTGGGACGGGCCAAGGGGTGGACGCTCCAGGAAAGGGGTGAACGGGCACAGAAGGGGGGGCCCGAGTCACTCAGCCTGGCTGGATCCCATGAAGTGCTATTACTGATCCGTCCTCCCCGTCTCCTTCACACCAGTGCTCTCTGGTGCCTACCTGGCCCACCTGGCAGCCACCCAGGTCCTTTATTCCAGTGGAAGGAAACAGGACATGGGCAGAAGCAGACGCTTAGGAGCCCCCAGGCCCAGAATGATCAACAGAGCCTTGGACAGAAAGACTTCCTAGATTAGCCCTCCAGGATCAAAGAGAACTTAGAAGAGTCTCAGGCCCAGGGGACCGTCTACCCCGAGGGCCCAGTAAGGAAGGAAGCAAAAGAGCCGCCCAGGCCTGAGGGGGAGAAGGAAATGGCAACCCACTCCAGTATTCTTGCCTGGAGAATCCCATGGACAGAGGAGCCTGGCAGGCTGCAGTCCATGGGGTCGCAAGAGTCGGACACGACTTAGCGGTTAAAGACAGAGAAAGAGAGGCCTGAGGGAGCTCCCAAAGGAGAGGCCCTAGCCCAAAGAGAATCCAGAGGCAGACTTCAGGAAGAGAACACTGGCCGCAGGGAACAGAATTCTCTCGACTCACTCTTCCTTTCTGGAACTTTTCCTTCCCCAGATTCTACTCCAGTCCAGGACTATGCCAATCTGTGGCCATGTTCCCGCCAGCCAGTCACCTCCTGTCCCTGCTGCTGGTGATAGACGCAGGGGGCACCGTGCCCAGCCCCCAGGGGGTTCCCCAGGGCTGCTATGCGGCTGAGGAAGCTGGGGAGCGGACCTTCCGCTGCAGCCAGGCAGGTCTGAGCGCCGTGCCCACCAGCATCCCCAACGACACCCGCAAGCTCTACCTGGATGCCAACCGGCTGGTGTCGGTGCCAGCTGGTGCCTTCCGGCACCTGCCTGTCCTGGAGGAGCTGGATCTGTCCCATAACATCCTTGCCCACCTCTCAGGGGCTGCTTTCCAGGGCCTGGCGGGCACGCTGCGCCGCCTTGACCTCTCTGCCAACCAGCTGGCCTCGGTGCCCGTAGAAGCTTTCATGGGGCTAAAGATCCAAGTGAACCTGTCTGCCAACCCGTGGCGCTGCGACTGTGCCCTCCAGGAGGTGCTCCGGCGGGTGAGGCTGGCCCCGGGCACGGGGACGGGCATCGTGTGTGGCCCGGGAGCCCGACCGGACCTCGTGGGGCAGGAGTTCCTGCCGCTGGTCGGGGAGGAAGAGCTGTGTGGGACAGGGCGGGGCGGGGCCCGGCGCAGCACCGACGTGGCCCTGCTGGTCACCATGGGGGGCTGGCTGGTGCTGGTGGTGGCTTATCTGGCCCACTACGTGCGGCGGAACCGGGACGAGACCCGACGTCCCCTCAAGCGGGCTCCCGTGCTGCCTGTGCGTTCTGAGGACTCCTCCACCCTCAGCACAATGGTCTGACGACCAGGGACACTTCTCTCGGCCCTCACCCGGCTCCCCTGTCCTCTCCTCTGACCCCCTCTGCTTCCCCTGCAGCCCCTTCCCATCCCCCAATTCCACCCTTCCTCCTCTGTCTCTCCGAAACACCTGATATCTCTCAGTCCAACAACACCATCTTCTGTGCCTGGGAGGTTGAGCGCCTACTTTTGGTACCTACTCTGCTGGTCTCTCATAAAGAGAATGAGGGAGAGAGACTGTAACAGTTATTGTTATAGATTCACTGCATGGAAAAATATTTTCCAGAATTATGAATTAATTAACAGCCTAGAATTCTTTTTTCATACTTACGAACTATATAATGAAGGACTGCAATGCATTTTGCATAGCATTCATTTGTTTAAAATTGCTACTTTCTAAAATTCTCTTGTTTTCACATTTTGTTGGGGAACCCAACAACTCTACTGAGAAACCCAACTCAGTAGAGTTCCACCCAAGAAATAGCAATAGTTGGACATTTCTGGATTTTTCCATATTGCTTTTTTCTTGTTATATTTATACTTGATTTTGAAGGGTTGCTTATGCTTGTGTCACTGCAAGCAATCAGTACCCAGTCATCTTGTAACACAGTGATACTTACTGTACAACAAAGCCTGAGTTTCTACCAACTGTAAGCCCCTAGAGTTAGGTGTCTCCCTCCTAATCCATTTATCTATACTATGGCCTTTTCTCCTTACACTCAGCAGGTTCATAAGGTTATTTGCCTTTAGTGATTTCACTTTCTTACAGTATGAAATATGAAGGTTGATAAAAGGAGAGATTGCATCTAAAAAAAATAATAATAAAGAACAGGAAAGCAAAGCTAAAAGAAACAGCAGCTCTAATTTATTTCTTTGAGAGTCTCAGGTCTCCTTAAGTGTTGTCCTGTTTTGGCTCTTCAAATCCAGTCTAAGCTAAAATGAAGAGGTATAGTAGATGCTGGTATTACATATATGAACAGTTCCCAAAGACCCCTCCACCAAAGTAAAGACCAAAAGGAAGCAAAACTAAAAGAATATAAAACAGGAGAGCTGGGTTCAGTCCCTGGCTTGGGAAGATCCCTTGGGATCTTCCCTTGGGAGAAGGGAATGGCAACCCACTCCAGTATTCTTGCCTGGAGAATCCCATGAACAGAGGAGAGCCTGGTGGGCTACACTCCATGGGGTCACAAAGAGTCGGACACGACTGAGCGACTTTCGCTTTCACTGTGCCTGGACTGTGCTAGACTGAGACCCAGAGCTTCTGAGTCCACGGAGATGGGGGGGGTGACAGACCAGAGAACGGTGGCAAATGGTCACGTGGGCCACCTCGGAGGTAGGAGCGGGCAGCTGTGGAGCGTGGTGGAGGTGGTCTCAAAGGCGGCACTGAGTGGATGTTTGAACTGACTCTTCAAGAATGAGGGGGGCTTTGGCAGAAAGGGGAAGGTCCCCAGCTGAAAGGTGGTGGGCTAAGGCAAAGAAAATGCAAAACAACTTGGAATGTCTGGGCAGCAGCAAGACTTACCTGGGGGCTGGAGAAGAGGGTATATAGGAGGGCGAGGAGACAGAGGGACCAAGCTGGCGGTGAGGTCAGAAGGGACCGTGTGGGCTCCTCCTCTCTTCTCCCTCTGCCTCTGCTGAAAAGCTGCACCCGCCCCCTCCCCTCTCTCTTTCTCTCTCTCTCTCACCCAAGCTCTGCTCCCACTACCCTCTACTATGGATCCCCTGTCTTAGGGTCCTCTGCTTCCTGTTTCGGAGATTCCCTAGCTCTCGGCTCTCACCTTTATACACAGAAGGGCTTCCTGAACCCTTTCCCTTGGGAGAAAAGCGGTTTCTGCTCCACCTGAACTGGGGATGGATCACTAGAGAGCTAGAGGGATGGGGAGGTTTCCCACCCCCACCCCAGAACATCACTGGACAATTCTGTGAAGTCCCTTTATTAATGCCCCTGATCTCCTTCTCGTTTCACTGAACATGCGCGGCCCTGCACTGAGGAGTGGGAGGGTGTTGGGCCCGTCACCTCCACCACCAGCACTCCTCTGATGAGGGTGCTCCCACTGACCTGGTGCCAGCTCCTCTCTCCTCTCCCACCTCCCAGCTCCTGACACCAGAGTCTATCTGCCACGGATGCCAGGGCCTATGCATTAATGATGATGGAAATGGAAGGACAGGGGATGGGAGGGGACCAGGAGGGAGGACATCCAGGGAGAGGGAAGGAGGGCAAAGCCCAGACTACTAAGGGGGCACGGGCAGAGGGAGTCAGTACTCTCTTAGCAATCTGTCTCTTCTCTCAGCAGGAGTCCAGGTAGGGGGCAGAGAGAAACTCAATGTCCCCACAGTTAATCAAAGAATGCCTGGACAGAGTGGGAGGGGAGAAACCATGCTGGTTGAAGGAGGGGGCTGTATGAGACATCCCCATCACAAAGTCAGCTTTTCACGGGACCCAAAGGTGCCAACACACACTGTCCCTTGTCCTTATGAGGGTGACTCACCCATGTGGCCTCCGTGGAGGAAACAGCTACTTTGGGAAAACTCCTGGGAGCCCCAGTAGAAACTGAAGATAAACACTGAAGCAGGGTTCCACCTAACTTATGGCAGAGCCTGGGGCAGAAGAGGAGGCCACTCAATGAGCAGCAAAGAGGAAGCCATCACCTCCCTTCATCCCTCTGACCCATCCTGACTTCCCTGTATCCTTTCCAGTCCTGCCCGATCCACTCTCGATCCCTGAGGTTCCCCTGACCACTCCAAGGCTGAGCTGCCTCACCTCACCCAGGAAACCTCCACTCGACTCACCTCACAAGAACCTGGGACAGGCCCCCATCTTTTCTCAGGAGACTTGGGCCTCCATCTCCACTTCCAGAGATGCTCAGGGATGGGGAAAAGAACTTGAAGGTGGGGAGTTTCAGGCTGTGGCTTTGACCATCCACCCCAGCCACATCCTGGCCTGGGCCTTAGGATCCTGCCCCATCCCTATCAAACCCTCCGTCGGTCCCTCCCCTACCACTCTCAGAATCCGCCCCCATTCTGCTCACCCATCCCCTTCCAGAATCAGCTGGGACTAATCTCACTGGGTTCTGGGAAACAGTGTGGAGACCTGTGGGAGTGGGAGGATAGGGGACGGGTGGGGCTCGGGGTCCCTGTCATTGGTGCCTATTTTGGGACGTTCATTCAAACCCCTGTTGTCCTGAGCAGCAGCGACAGCATCTTTAAGGTCTTCAGAGAGTGGGTTCCCCTACCCTGACCCCTAACTCCAGGTCTCAGAGATAAGTGCAGGATGGGAAGCCTGGATAGTAAACATCCCACCAGTTATCGCCATGGCTCCCCTCTGGCTCAGATTCCTTTCCCTCCCTGGAATTAGGACAGGAGGGAGGGAGAGGGAGGACAAGTGGGGCAGAAGAAGACAGGGGGCAGGCTGGGGAGGTGGCAGGGATGGGGAGGTGGTGGGCTGCTGTGGCTCTCCTCCCCAGAGAGCGACCCCCTCACCCAGGCCAGTCGGGGTCTCTGAGGCAGAACTTGGTGCAAGGGGGACATCAAATGCTGTAACTTTGGACTTCGCTGGCGGCCCAGTGGCTGAGACTACGAGTTCCTAATGCAGGGGCCCTGGGTTCGATCCCTGGTTGAGGAGCTAGATCCCGCATGCCACAACTAAGAGATTTCTCATGCTGCAATGAGCTAAGACTCAGTGCAGCCAAAAAAAGAATCTGCCTGCCAATGCAGCGGACATGGGTTTGATCCCCAGTCTGGGAAGATTCCACATCCTGTGGGGCAACTAAACCCATGCACCACAACCACTTAGCCCACGTCCTAGAGCTGGTGCTCCACAACTAGAGAAATCACTGCAATGAGAAGCCTGCACACGGCAGCTGGAGAAAGCCCACACACAGCAATGAAGACCCAGCGAAACCAAAAATTAATAAATGAATAATTTTTTTAAACGCTGTAGCTTTGGCTCAACCCATGACAGGAGACTGAACAAAGTGGGGCACCCACAGACTGAAACACCTGCTGGGATAACAGTCACTGAATCCCTAAGCCCTTCCCTCAGCACCTTGGCCTCTGGGTATCCTCTGAGCAGGCAGGAAGTGGTGGCAAACCTGGTTTCGCCCCCATCCTTACCTCTACCAGGCACCAGAGGTCATAGAGCCAGAGTTCCAAAATGCCACCTGGGCCCTGGCACGGCAGCCGGATGGCCTCATTTTTGTTCCCTGCTTCTGGCCCTTCTGCCTGGTCCAGAGGTAAGGGAGACATGCTGTGTCGAAACCAACCTCTCCCCCAAGGTGTGCTGGAGCTAGGAATAAAACTGCCAGGTACTGAGAGAGCCCAGCCACATGCCTAGTCCAGCTTTGATGTGAGAACCCAGGAAGGCAGGTCCCGGCTTGTCATCCACAAGCAGCACCCTGGAGCCTGCAGGCTGTGGGTGGGGGTGGGAGCACAGGAGAGTCCCTCACTCAGCCTTTCCATCACCGGCTTCTTCCTGCCTATGGAGCAAAACCTGGAGTGGCAAAGAGAGCAGACGCTACCCTCAGGGAGTCCCCATCTGAGGAGGAGAGCTATGACCCTAATTCTCAGGGAACCCCTAGGCTAACGGAAGAAACTGCAGAGCTTTGATGCTGGTGAGGCCAAGACATCCACCAGATGAAGCCCATACAACGCCTGGTTGGCTACCAAAGGCAGTGGAGAGAGAACAAACTGAGCTCACGGGAACTGCGGGAGACAGTTAAGAAGCAGCAGGTGGGGCACAGCCCCACCCTTCCTGTCCTCGCCTCCCGTGCAGACCTACCAAGTGCAACCCTGAATGAGCAGCTGCTGCTGCTGCTAAGTCACTCAGTCGTGTCCAACTCTTTGCAGCAGTTTCCTCTGTCCTTGGGATTCTCCAGGCAAAAATACTGGAGTGGGTTGCCATGCCCTCCTCCAGGGGATCTTCCCTAACCAGGGATTAAACCCGCATCTCTTATGTCTCCTGCATTGGCAGGTGTGCTTTTTTACCACTAGTGCCACTTGAGAAGCCAGGTGATGAGAGGGTGTCGGTATTAAAACCAGGAGGGAGAACCAGGCACCTTCTTCCAAGTCCCTCCCCCATTAGACTAAGGGGAGTTCCAACTTAGAAACGGTTTCCCCTCATCTCTCTGAGGCTCTGTTATCAGCAACCTCAGCATCCTGTGAGGAATGATTTCTCAAACCAGGAAGGCAGAAAACCAAACAGACAGTGCAAGGTATCTGAGCTGCCGTAGACAATGCCACAAGTCCACTCACTCATTTCATAAACATTTATTGAGTTACTATTATGTATCAGGTCCTGCAGGTACAAAGAGAAGGAAGTAATGGTGCCCATCCTTGGGAAGATCACCTGGAGAACAGAAAGGCTACCCACTCCAGTAGTCTGGCCTGGGGAATTCCATGGACTGGATGGTCCATGGGGTCGCAAAGAGTCGGATATGACTGAGCAACTTTCCCTTCCCTTAGTGATGACAGAGGCGTGCACAGGGGTCATGTGAGCCCAGAAGGGACATCTAAAGCAAATACTCTGGTTCAGGCACTTTGTTCACAGGAGCACTCACAGAGAACCCATTGATTTTGCCTATTTTTGAAAATCTTTTTTTACATAGAGTTCTAATAATATCGCAACTATGGTTTCCTGCATACAACAGGTTCCTGCATACAAACATTCCTATTTGAAATAGGAAAAAAGTTCATCACAGATAGAACAACAGCAGGGCAAATCAACAGCCTGACAGCAGGGAGAGACATTACTGAAGTATTATTTTTTATTTATTTATTTATTTTTGGCTGCACTGGGTCTTTGCTGCTTACCCAGGCTCTGTCTATAATAAATTACGTAGAATGACTATTGGAAACTGCTCATTCTACCAGCACTGTATCCTCATACCATCTTCCCAAGGGACCAAGATCTGCCCTGGGGC